AATTGATTTTCCATTAGACTTCTCTTCTTCCTAAGCAAATTCTATGTCGACTTGTTAAGATGTTACAAAAGGAAAAATATTTTCCCACTTTGACAGTGCAACTGGATGTTCTCCCCAAAGTAAAGTCAATCCACAATCCAAAAGGCGCAGGAGCCACCTTCACAGGGCAGGAAAGCGTGCTCACCATCTCTGTGATCTCAGCAATGTCCTCTCTGTGCTCCCAGCTGGGAAACATATTCGTGAATGTCAGGGGCTCCAGGCCAGCATGGATAAGGTAAGACTTGGGGGGTGGTTTCTTGAGATTTTTCCCTGTAGTTACACAGAACAAAATGTCAGTAGACCCAAGGGAGAGGGAGACCCTGTCTTTCACTGATTTCCCTTGAAATCTTTTCTTCTTTGTCAGAACTCATGACTTCATGCTTAAAATGCAAGTTACGAGTAGTTCATAACAACACATGGATAATGTTTATGTAAGATGTTAGTTCCATGCCTGTGACTACAATAGTGACCTATAATCAACCTGAGTCTATACTTCTTGAACCTAACAAAACGCTCTGTATTCCTGGAAGGGAGAGCTCCTCTGTCTGCAGCTTCTGGGTGGAGCATTTTCTTCCTCCTGAATTCACTGTAGCGGCTTCCCTCTGCCTTCCTACCACGGGATTAACTCCAATATGGCCGACAGCGAACGACAGCATCTTATACATCCACATTCACTATAACATTGGGTGGAAGGTTTCATATGTTACTTATTGCTAAAGAGTTTTTCAGGAAGAGAATCAATTGCACATACTCAGTGACATTAAACTAGTTGTATCAATGAAACCGTAAAAATTAAATAAGATATTAATCACTGGCATTTTCATTTTATATAAAAGACTAGAAATTTCATGTATATAGTAAAGAACCACAAACTTACTATGGGTATTTCTCTTTGGATATAATACTAAAAATAATAATGAATAATAAAAAAGTTGGCAATGGCCATTCACTGCTTGGGGGAGACCTCCATTCTCCAACAGCATGGTAGTGCCTGCAGATAATGTAAATGGAGAGGCCAACTTGTCTCTCAGCATGATCAACCCCGAGTACAGTGGGGTTTTAATCTGCCTGGGGCGTTCCACAATACAGCCTTTATCCTTGAGGGTAACAAGTTAGCCTCATAATATCAGACAGAAAAACTAGTTATTCTTCAAGCTGGCAGCTGAGAATGCGCTAATCTAAAAATTAATTCATCTCAGAAAGTTAAAGTGGAAAAAATTGGTTTCATCACCGCCTGCCAGGCTTTATGGATGCCGGCTTTCACACGCAGAAAGGGAAGGGGGTCTCCTGGCTGGGCGTGCCTGAGGGGCTTCCCCATCTGTTCCATGCTGCAGGCGCGTCAGAGGGAGCCTCACCTTTGCAGTACTGGAGCACGGTCTCCATCGCGCTCTTCCGGTCGGAGGCCCAGCGGATGCGGGCAGAACCAGTGATCTTGTTCTCAATGGGCCACCAGCCTTGCCAGAGGTACACCTCGTGGTGATTGTCAACAAGGAAAAGCGCTGTGAGGGCAGGGACAGAGCTCGACCATCAGAAGCTCTTTCACGGACACTTCCAGCTCACTCCTCCCCAAACCTAGTGGATGCTGTTCCTCCCCGCTGTTGTGTCATGGGGGAAACCCCCTTGGCCGTCAAACCAGGGGCAAAGAGGCAAACAGAAACCCAGGACACCCCAGCCCTTTGAAAGGTCAACTGGGAGAAGCCTCTAGGCAGAGAGAGGTGGCGTCAAGGAGTTAGTCTCTTTCATTCCTCGTCCTCCAGGTCCTCCTCCCTTTGCCCAAGCTGAAGCCGCTGGCCCTTCTGGATACTGGCAGGACTGTGCTAAGAGTGGAAGGAATAATGCATGTGCCACTCAAGGGGCTGTTAGCACCACGTATCTCCAAAGAGCACAATCAACACTGGAGCACACATCGCACGGCAGACAGGTCAGAGGCGTTCCTGCCCTGCGCGCGACTGCTTAGCAGTGAGGTGAGCTCATGGTTCTCTTACAGAGAAATGGGCTTTAAACATCAAAACTGTGAGTGGTGGCTCATGCTGGTAATCCCAGTGCTTTGTGAGGCTGAGGAGGAAGGACTGCTTGAGCCCAGAGGTTGAAGACCAGCCTGGGCAACATGATGAGACCCTATCTCTACAAAAAGAAAAAAAAAAAAAAATTAGCCCGGTATGGTGGTGCATGCATGTAGTCTCAGCTACTCAGGAAGCTAAGGAGGGAGGATCGCTTGAGCCCAGGAGTTTGAGGCTGCAGTGAGCCATGATTGCACCACTGCACTCCAGCCTGGATGACAGAGTGAGACCTTGCCTCTAAAAAATATAAAATGAAATAAAAATCAAAATTGTTCTACTGCCTTTTCCTCCTCACTTTTTCTCCTCCTCAAATTGTCAGCCTGACTCTTACTCCATGGGGCAAAACGCCTCTCACTGTTGCTGGTCGGCTCACCGTGTGTCCTTTCCCAGCATGTGTTTCAGGATTCTGTGAAAGCCACATTTTAAAAGCCCAGTGGAGGTTGATAACCCGCCCTGAGCCCCAGGATGAAGGGCGTGGGCACAGCCTCTCTTTCTGATGGCTAAGATTTTCCAAGCATGACATGTGCACTGGTCA